CAGTGCTTAGAGGGAAATTTATAGCACAATAATCTTACATTAGGGAAAAAAGTCTCAAATCAATAATCTAGTCTTTCTCCTTAAGAAACCAGAAAAGAGCAATATAAGCCCAAATCAAGCAGAAGAAAGGGAAATACAGGTACAAGCAGAATTAAAAGCATTCAAAAACCAAAACCATAGAAAAAAATTACGAAACAGCTGATTCTTTGGAATGATCAATGCAATTGATAAACCTCTAGCAATACTGGCAAAAAAAAAGCAGACAAATTGTTAATATGAAAAACGAGAGGGCTATTACTAATACAGACCCCACAGACATTAAAAGGATAAGAAGAAAATACTATGAATAATTGTATTCATATAAATTTGACAACTTAGGTGAAATGGATCAAATCCTCGAAGCCACAAACTACCAAAGTCATGAAATACATAACTTGAACAACTCTATAACTATTAAAGAAATTGAATTTGTAGGTTGGGCGTGTTGGCTCACACCTGTAATCTTAGCACTCCGAAAGGCTGAGGCAGGAGGATCACGTGAGCCCAGGAGTTGGAGGCCACAGTGAGCTGTGATCATGCCACTGCACTCCAGTCTGGGTGACAGAGGAAGACCCTGTCTCTAAAATTAAAAAATAAAATAAAATAAAATAAAAAATATATATATATAACATCCATTTATGATGACAACTTCTCAGCAAACTACAAATAGAAGGGAACTTCCTCAGCCTGATCAAGGGCTTTTACATAGCACCCACAACTAACATCATACCTAATAGTGAATGACAATGCTTTCCCCTTAAAATTGAGAAGGCAGACAAAGATATCCACTCTTGCCACTCCCCTCCACTTATCCTTAGCCAGTGCAAAGAGGCAAAAAAAGAAAAAGAAAAGGCAGGCAGAATGTAGAGGAGCAGATGAAGCCATTCCTGTTTATAAACAGCATGATTGTCTCTGCCAAAAATTCCAGGGAGTCTACACAAATTCCTAGAACTAAGGAGTGAGTTTTGCCTGGTCACAGGACACAAGGCAACACAGGAAAAACAATCATTTTTCTATATGCTGCTAATGAATAACTGAACTCTGAATTAAAAACAGCACCATTTACAATAGCTCCTCTCAAAATGAAATACTTAGGTACAAACCTAACAAGACACGTACTGGATCTGTATTCTGAAAACCAGAAAATACTGATGAAAGAGAATTTTTAAAAGATCTAAATTCTAAATAAATGGAGAGCTATAAGTTGTATTCATGGATTGGAAGACTCAAAATTGTTAAGATATCAATTCTCCTCAAAGGTATCATAGATTTAATGTAATACCAATAAAAATTTCAAGACAATTTTTTGTAGATATAGAGAGCCCGATATAAGATATGTACTGCAGGGCAGAGGAACGAGAATAGCTGAAACAATTTTGAAAAAGAAGAATGAAGTTGGAGGACTCATACTACACAATGTTGACACTTTGTATGTGGCTACAGTAATCAAGATAGAATTGGGGAGGAGAGAAACACCACAGAGTCTGGAAATCGGCCCATAAATATGGCTATTTAGTCTTAGACAAAGGTGCAAAGGAATTCCTGGAGAAAGGATGATCTTTTCGACAAATGGTATGAGAACAACTGGTCGTTCATATGCAAAGAAAATGGATATTAACCTAAACGTCACATCTTATACAAAGATCAACTCCAAATGGATCACAGATCTAAATGTACAACATAAAACCATAAAATTTTTAGGAGAAAGAAATCTTCATGACCTGGGCTTAGGCAAAGAGTACTGACAGAGTAATGACATCCAAAACACCATCTGTAAAAGAACAAATGAAAAATTGGATTTCATCAAAAATTGTAAAATCTGCTCTGTGAAATACACTAAAACAATGATAAGGTAAGCTACAGACTGGGAGGAAATGTTTGCAAGCCACATACACAACAAAGGACTAGTATATAGAATACATAAAGAATTCTCGAAACTTTAAAACAAACAATCCACTTAAAAATGGGCAAAAGAGTTATGATAAAGGTATCCAAAGAGGCTCTCGAGAAGACATTCACCATGAGTCGCTAGGGAACTGCAGTGAGGTGGTACTGCAGTATTATGAATGCTACCAGATTGGTACTGCAGTATTATGAATGCTACCAGATTGGTACTGCAGTGTTATGAATGCTACCAGATTGGTACTGCAGTGTTATGAATGCTACCAGATTGGCGAAAATATAAAACTGTGACACTGAATGCTGCGAAGAGGCAGAGAAACTGGATCTCTGACGCTAGAAAACAGTTTGGCAGTTTTGTATCAAGGTACAGGAGAGAGCAATTCTCTCCCGGATGTTTACCCAAAAGAAATGGAAATAGCAGACTTCACGTGGATGATCCTGGCAGCTCTGTTCCTAGTCAAAACGCCAACACATGGGAACACCCCAATGTCCTTAAGCAGGCAAACTGTCACTGTGGTCTGTCCCTAAAACGGAACACTCCTGGGGCACAAGGAAGGGGCCCTGGTACTGTGGAGGGGCCAATGAGGAGAGTGGTGCTGGTTAAGGAAGCTGCAGGTGCCGGAAAAGGAGGCAATTTTACCGCATGATTTAAAAACAACCAGCAACGGGAAGGTGCCAAAGGCAGCCTCACCCCGCCCTGCCCTGGCTTTCCCACAGGTTGGGGGCAAAGTCCACCTGGACAGGGAAGGGCCCGTGGGGTTTCTACAAGCACCCCACCCCCAGCGTGGCTCCACAGCCTGGAAAGTCATCCTGGATGGAGGGGTGCTGGCCCTCCCCTCCCTTCTCTGCCCTCCGCCTGCACTGGCGGGCACTCGAGTCAGTGCCATCTGTGACCCAGGGGAAGGGAGTGACCCTGGGCAGCGACCCTGCCAGCCTCAGTCTGTGAGCTAAGGGTGGACACGCAGCCGCCTGCCCCTGCCAGCAGTGGACCCAGGTCCAGATGGGCGGTGACTGGCTGGGGGGGAGGCAGAACACAGGTCCAGGACAGGGCACCCCAGAGCAGAGCTTCCTCCTTGCTACTGCTGCAGGTTGGTGGCCAGCCCAGGTGAGGGTCAGAGGGGGCCTGTCCCGGTCTGAGGGGGCTTGTTCCGGTCTGGGGGGGCCTGTCCCAGTCTGAGGGGGCATATCCCAGTCTAAGGGGGGCCTGTCCCAGTCTGGGGGTGCCTGTCTTGGTCTCAAGGTGGCCCATCTTAGTCTGAGGGGGCTTGTCCCAGTCTAGGGGGGCCTGTCCAGTCTGAGGGGGCTTGTCCTGGTCTGGGGGGGCCTGTCTTGGT